TCTCTCCTATGCATTGTGCAATGTAATAATACGTCTTTGCTTGTACACAGTGGTGAAAGTTTATAAAACAACGTAAACCTTGCTGCTTTAGTTTCGCGTGAGCTCACATGCACGTTATGGTGGATTTGAAGGTGTTTCTGTATGACGTACAGGGAATAGGTTTGGTGCCTTTTTCCAGCAATTAACTTCTACTCTGTGAGAGAGTAAGCGAAGAAAATCTTACGCACACGGAAAACGCGAATCAGGTTGCTTTCGAGTAGAGACGGATAAGCACAACGGGCAAATGTGAAAAAATGGCGAGGAAAACAAATTCATATGGTCCCTCCTGCCGTTCACGTTTCAAAAAATCTCTCTAATTTCCAAATGCAGGTGAGATCCTGGAAAAAAAGTTAACTAAGTTCTCCCCAAAAAACGAAGTATGAATCCAAAGAGACCCGACCTAATTCATTTAACGATAACCAGTGCGGAAACTGAACCAGGACGAGTCGCAATTTTCTGGCCGTAAATTCTAGTAAACAACGATTCAAGCCGAAAGCTGAACCTAATTGGTCTTTGATTTATATTCAAAGTACTTCGATAAGGTACGTATGATATGTCCTTTGTTCGTGTAAAGAAATCATTTGATCTGGCTTAAAATGCTTGAGGGAGATTTACAGATAATTAAATGTCGTCTTCCTTGTTTAGTCACTGTCGGGAATTTCATCGTACGACAATCTGTTTTTCCGAGCAAGCGACAGCTCGTGATCTATGTGAGAGTATACGGCCGTATACGAGTCATTCCCTCTTTTAGGCCCTGCTGGATACGAAATCTAGCGGCTCTTGGAACAAGTCTACTCTTGCTCAATATGTCGTTCATTTCTTCCTACAATAAACCATTAGCTTCCATTGTCGCCTTTTTTTTTTTTTTAATCGGCGAGAAGTAAAAGCAGCATCGACAGACAGCTGTTTTGACATGACATTTTTCATGTATACCCATTCAAGTAAAGACATGTTAACAATTCCTAGGATTTTTGCGGAAACTCTTGCTGTGTTAACAATACAAAGGTTTTTTCCCTTTGCGTTTTCATTTTCTTCATGTCTTTGGTGAAGTCACGCTTTTGCAAGTAATCATTCTGTTGCAATCAAAATTCAAAATTAAATTTGCAATTTCATTTTAGATTTTGTATTTGATCATGTTAAGGAATATGCTGACTGAATTTGTCGTCTTTTATCGGAGGGTGTAAATAGTAATAAGCTCTTTCCTCTATGGAAAATTCGAAGTCGCCCAAGGAAATATTGATGAAAATAAATGAGTGAGTGACTAAAAATAACTTCTTAAAGTTTTCTAGAATGCTTTGTCATGCTGACTTGCATGTATGAACTTCATGTATGAAAATAAATGGGTGAGTGACTAAAAATAACTTCTTAAAGTATTCTAGAATGCTTTGTCATGCTCACTTGCATGTATGAACTTCCTATGGAACTTCTAAGAACTTTTTTGCTGAGAAATTGTTGTTGCGATGTAATTATAGTATAAAAAAAGTAACAAGGCCTTGCCTCTGAAAGTCACACGAGGAAATAATGATGAATAGCACGTGCCTGGCAGTTAAGGCTTAGCCGTTTTCAATAAAAATCGCTCTCGGTAGTGTGTCAGCCGATGCGTTGGGCAAAGCGTTGGCCAACGTGTCTGTAGGATCGGATTCTTTACCATAGTAAATGACGACCCGTCATAGCAGGTGTGGATTTGCAAGAGACTTAGACGATATTCCGCAAGTTTCTGTATCATCTTAAGTCTAACGAAGAGCTTCGTTAGACGGATGTAAAATTCCAAAATGCAGTGACTTCGTAGTCATCGAAGCTGTTGACAATTTATTGTGAGCAAACCATATCGATGAACAGGGACTTTGAGAGAAATCGTGGCTTTGACTCCGGTGCTCTCTCAGTTTCTTGAATCGAATGACTGGTCTCTCTACGCATGCACCCTGCCTCTCTGCCTTTACTGTGTCTTCAACTTACTCACTCAATAACGTCTTCCTTGCTTGCATTCTTAAGAAACCGACTACACTTCTTCCTCACCGACAGATATGTCAATTGACGAGGTCAAGGTCATCGATGGCTTAGGGGCCCACTATGTTCCTCCCTCACTACTTGCTAACCCCAAGTAGTCAATTGACAAAAACATACTTACTTCTGGTGTCCATAATGTTCGCTTAGCCTTTCCGCAACAAGTCGTATATTTTACAAAACGAGTCAGTTCTATTTTCGCAACAAGTCGTATATTTTACAAAAGAAGTTTTACATTTTCGCAACAAGTCGTATGTTTTATAAAAGAAGTTTTACATTTTCGCAGTAAATCGTATATTTTACAAAACGAGTTTTCTATTTTCGCAACAAGTCGTATATTTTACAAAATAATTTTTACATTTTCTCAACAAGTCGCATATTTTTTTTATAAAAGAAGTTTTACATTTTCGCAAAAAGTCGTATGTTTTATAAAAGAAGTTTTACACATTCGCAGTAAGTCGTATATTGTACAAAATGAGTTTTCTATTTTCGCAACAAGTCGTATATTTTACAAAAGAATTTTTACATTTTCGCAACAAGTCGTATATTTTTTATAAAGGAAGTTTTATATTTTCGCAATAAGTCGTATATTTTACAAAACGAGTTTTACATTTTCGCAACAAGTCGTACAAGTATATTTTACAAAACAAGTCTTATATATCCATACACAAGTATTTTAGTCTGCTTCGGCGCGCCGTATAGGAGTCGGGTCTTGACAATTTTCGAGAAAAAATGCTGCAACTAAGTTTGAAACTGATCCCTGCCGGAAAGTTAAGTCTTAGCAATTTTTGCCAATAAAAATCGCTGCGACTAAGTTTGAGACTCGTCCCTTCCCGGGTAATTAGGTCTGAGCGATTTTCGCCGGTAACAAATCACTGCGACTAAGTTTGAGACTCATCATCCCGCACTTTAATCTTTAATCTTTAATCTTTAATCGAGATACTCCTAAAACAGCAATAACTATACTAGGAGGACTAATTACAAAGAATAAAATTTAAATAATTTATATACAGTTTAAGGTTTAACAATATAAGAAAACAAAACTTGGATAAAACAAAACTTGGATAAAACAAAACTTGGATAAAACAAAATAATATAAATAGCGTAAAGATAAAATTAGTACGGGCTAAACCGACCTAATAAATGAAAGAGCATTTGATCTAAATATATCTAAATTAACAATGTCAGAAGAGCTTAGAGATATATTGTTCCACAAAACTACTGTCCTTGGATAAAAAGAATAGTTATAGATATCATTATTCACTTTCGATTGTTTGAAAGGACGACAGTTTGGAGCTCTTAATGGTCTTTCATTCGGTGTGACATCAGATGGGAGTGATATGCCAACGTGGCCCATATAGATTTTATAGAACATAGTGCCTTGTGAAAGAAGTCTTCGGTGATGAAGTGAATCCCAGTCAAGACTTTGTACCATAGGTGTAACATGGCTATAACGCGAGTAGTCGTTAAAGACAAATCGAGCGGGTCTTCATTGGACAGATTTCGAGAAAAATTGCTGCAACTAAGTTTGAAACTGATCCCCTGCCGGAAAGTTAAGTCTTAGAAATTTTCCGTAAAAATCACTGCAACTAAGGCTAAGACTGTTCCTATGCTGGGAAGGTAAGTCTTAGCGATTTTCGCCGATAAAATTCGCTGCGACTAAGTTTGAAACTGATTCCATGCCGGAAAGTTAAGTCTTAGAAATTTTCCGTAAAAATCACTGCAACTAAGGTTAAGACTGTTCCTATGCTGGGGAGTTAAGTCTTAGCGATTTTCGCCAATAAAAATCGCTGCGACTAAGTTTGAGACTCATCCCGTGCCAGGGAGTTAAGAGCCACTGGCCATAAATATCGAGAATCCGCCGACAATTGCCAAATTTCGTAATTCGTTTTGTTTTTTCGAAAGGACCCTTTCAATGAACCTTTTTCGAAAATTATATCAAAAAGTTCTATTGCGCTTTTTCTTCTCCGAAAAATCGAAAAACGGTTCCGAATATGCCTAAATGGCCGTTGTCCCCCGTAAAGCAATGAAAAATTATGCAACTTTGGCAACTTCGTACGCTACAACGCGATGCAATCCCGCTTTTAAATTTTTTGTACTGGTAGATGGTCCTCAGTTTTATCTCTTAGAAAATATCAATTACTTGTTATTTTGTTACGTTTAAGTCTGAATGGTGACCCGTTGAAATAAAGTACCCTACGTCTCTTTCGCGGAGGTAAAATAAAGGTCAACTTCAGTGGCCTATGAACACTGGTCTGCCATATATACTTACAAATCATAATATACATCATCTCAAAGCTTTATTCTTGTACCTTAATTCCTCCAATTCTCTATATTGGTCTGCTATAAGCGGGACTTCCAGGTTTACAAGAATTTTGGCTATTTTGTTGAAAATGCAGTGCCAATCGCTAAACAGCTATCACGACCCATTCAAATGCCTTTAGAAAGGTCTTGTATTATATCTAAACAAATCAGAAAATATATCGTCTTTAAGCTTTAACCTTGAAAGTTTCTTTCTTGGTCTGCTATAGGCGGCGCATCCAGCTTTGAAAGAGTTTGGGCTAAAATGACAAAAAGTGTAATGCGATCCGTTGAACGGCTGTCGTAGCGTGCAAGACGTGGTGAATTACGAAATTTTGCAACTGTCGGTGGATTCTCGATATTTACGACCAGTAACTCTAAGTCTTACCGATTTTCGACCATGTTTGAGACCGATATAGCGCCAGGGAATTAGGTCTTAGCGACTTTCAGTTTTGCTAATAAGTCTGAGACCGTTCCTGTGTCGGAATGTTAAGTCTTAGTCTCTAGTATTGATTTTCTGTTAAATTCGCTGCGACTAAGTTCAAGACCATTCCCGTCCGGGAAGTTAGGTCTTAACAATTTTCGATAAAAATCGCTGCAACTAAGTCTGAGATCGATATCGTGCCGCTTTTGCAACAGGCTGGTAAATGTTTGAAAAAACTCTCTGCGATCAGTTGAGAAATCCCATCTCCAATCGAAGAACATCAAGTAGCAGTGGTCATCGACGGCTTAGGGGTCGAGCATGTTAAACGTTCCTTCCTCACTTTTCTTTAACCTCAGGTAGTCAATTGACAAGACGATACTCACTTCTCTATCTGATATCTGCGATTAGACGGCCGATTTGCCAGTAACTTTTTCTCTGCTGTCATTTGCGCTATTGCAGACCATGTTGAATTCGTGCGCACCAAATCAAATTGTCATTGCGACGTTTCGCGGTGTGTTTCTCTGTTCATGTTTCTCACTGATTCTTTTCTCCTTATTTTTCAGTATGGGGGTGTGGTCTGAAAGCAGGGGGAAGTCATGTGACCTAAATCGGTTATTTAAGGTAAGGCCCAATATTTAGAGATCACTTCTGTGCAGATTTTCAAAGCAAAAGGATTTAAAGAGAAAACAGACAATGGCTGACTTCGGAAAGGAAGAGTGTGAGAGGAAAGGTGCGATGACAATCAATTGAGCGGTTTTTTTTTTCTTGGTTGTTTTATTCAGGAGACCTACAACTGTCTACGCTCGTGACTAGACGCAAAAAAACAACTTTCTACATTTCTTTACCGAGTTAAAAACTTAGCATCTTTTTTATTCTTCACCGAAACCATAACGATTCTTAGCAGTATACAAGACGCGTGTCATACTTGAACTTCGTAATGGGCCTTGCTTACTAGAGTCTCTATGACGCAGTGGTAAAGCATCGGAGCGCGGAATTCCAAGTTCTGAGGCGCGATTGCTCATGGGAACTCAGAAATGTTTCTTTGTCCCACGTTCGTGACAAGACAAAAAAACATCTTTTTACAATTGTCTAAGATGTTGTTTACCATACGGACTGAATTGTATTTGATCAGGTGACTAACTCTCTTGTTTCTGTTTCTAGTTATAGAGAATCACCTGATTCTGAGAGACTTTAGGCTCGATGATTCCCTTGTTGGGGCTCCGCATGAATCTGATGGCCAAGCAACTGGAGAAACAGAAGATGGCGCAGGTTCGCTCATCACTTCTCAGTTTAATTTGTCCTTGTATGATGACTGAAAAATTTGTGGCAGGTATCCTCCTAGATAAGCCATGAAATGTTTTCAAGTTTCTCAAGAGAAATAGGTTTCAGAAGCAATGGCGACAGAACAAAACTGGTTGGTTATTTCTCCTTTACTGCGCCTTAACATCGAAATAGTTGATTTCGAAGTTCGTAGTGATTAACATTTTAGGAGCCAACTACGTTCCCTTCGATTGACGAGGTTATAGTTACTACTCGTTAGTATCCCGATAGGAAATAACATCGACTTAAACGTTATCTTACCTTGAGTAGCAACTGAAATAGATAATTTTTCTCTCTCTCAGAAAAGGTTAAGGTTATACCATGAAAAAATCAGTCCTTGATTACCCTGAAACTATCTCCATTCTAACTACACTTATCTGATCTCACAACTAGGTTTACAGCGTTGTAAAACCGACCACGTCATTGGGAGTTTACCTTTTAGAGTGGCCCGACAGCTGATGGTTATGCTCAATCTACCTCTGACATGAAAAGGCGATTTTCGCAATCTCTCCTGCGAAATGGGCTATAAGTGGAGCGAGATCATATACTTTCAGTCCCTCCAGAATCCAATGGACCCTATTCTGAGGGGCTGTATGAATATTCCCATCGAACAACTCATGATAAAATTTGAAAAGCCTTGATTGGATTACCGGATGCAAGGAGTGTGGTCGAGGAGTATATCACAGAAAGTTGCAAATGTGCCAAATGTAAGAACTAAGTTCAAGCTACAGAATTAGAAATTACTTAGCTAGAATATAACCTGGTCGAGTTTTTTCAAAGAAAATATGTAACGTACAAGATAAGTTTCACTTTATCATAGTGTTATATATAGTTTAGATTACGAATGTGTTTTTGAGGTTCTTGTAAATCTATACACTCGTCACTCACTTGTGACTGTTTTCTGATTGTGGAGACCTCACTAATTTCAAGCCTTTCGTCCTTCGGTTTGTTTTTCCCACTGTCTTCTGTGCCTTATCCGTCGTGGATACAGCACAGGTGAGGAGTATGCTAACTTCCGAGCATAGAAAATAGAAACAAGGGAACATTTAAGCATGTACATTTTTGGTAATTGGTAAAGAAAATTTTGTACAAGTTGTAGAATGAAAACAGTGGCACATTAAAGAAGGAGCTTTTGAGATTCACGACTCTTAGTGTCTTTGGTTTAGCCCTGCAGGTTGCTCCAACATTTCTCCCTGACACTCAACGTAGTTTCGTCGAGCAAGAACCTACTTTTAGTCTCTACGTTGTACATCAGTAGTCATGGTTTGAATGTTCTAGTGCAAAACTGTTTTGAATATACCCAAGTCCTGTCCATTCAGTACTCCCAAGTCCTACATGGAGGAAAAAGGTGCTCGATTCCTTTTCTCTGATCTATCAACCTAGACGCGAGCCAAGAAAGAAATTGGAGAAGAAGAATTTACAACGACATTTTTTTTAAACAGTTAAGAGAATGTATATATTTATTACACGACTCGAGCAGTCAGAGGGCCAATAACTAAAATCAACCAATCAAAATGCTCTATTGCCGGTCAATATTTTCTCAGTATTGGACCGGGCACTGTCCCGAATGGTCCCGAATGATACCGCACTTGTGTCCCTTTGA